ATATTTAATATTATTATATATTCAATATATTATTAATTTAAATATTATTACATATTTTCAAAAATTAAACCAGCAAACGCAGTTTCAGTTTCTTTTAAAACTGAAATCAATCTCTGAATAAAACTATCAAACGCATTTCAGAAATAATTCCAAAATGAAAATGAAAACATTTTTATTTCTATTTTCATATAGAAAATAAAATCATTTTAGAAACAATTCTAAACGCACCCTATATATTAGATGTTGGTAGGTTAAACATCTAAGGGCTGTACTTAAGAGGTATTAAAGTAATTACATAAAATACCTATTTTTAAAATCCTAATTTTAAAATTATCTGTTATTATACAATATTATAAAAAACCGAAGCTATTTGTCTCCTTTTTTCAATTAAAAACCTTCGACATTTGGTGTTGTGTTGGTTTGGGGCATTCCTTATAATCCCTTTTCATATTTATGGGTCGTTTGAAAGAAGAATTTAGATCATAATTTAAATTATAATTTATAATTTAAATTATAATTTATAATTTATTGTAATATTTTTTTTCATAAAAAATACACATAAAATAAAAAATACTCCTGAATTCATGTACCCAACCTTTTCAGTTAAGGATTTAATCATGCATACGGACAAGCTTTACCAAACTAACTGTATTACCCGAAAAACCAGGTTGTAATTGACTCCGTACGAACACTGATTACTACACATTCCTATAATTCTGCTGCTACGGCCGTAGAAACTAGAGACAGCCTTCCGACTTCCAAATACACTTAACTCACTTCCGCTCAGAACTCAATTCGATTTCAAAATTCAAAACCAAAAACCCAAAATTCATAAAATTACTTTTACTATTAATATACATATATATATTTTTTTGCTCAATCAATTTCATCGAAGGTTTTCCAACACCGAGCAATCACCGGCACGAGTATCGCGGGACTTGATCATGATCTTTGGTTTTTCTTCCCCACATCAATTCGTAAGTTTTCCTTTTCACTTTTGATTTTGATTTACCGATTGTTTTAGGTTAGTTGATTATTTAGAATTTTTGGGTTCGGGGTTATTGAAAAGAGACAGAAAATGGTGTTTTTCTTTTACTACCTGGGCGTAATCCTTTGGAATTTTTGGATTATATTGTTTTCCAGAGCCAAATTTGACTTTTATGGATTATGTTATATATTGGTCCTATCTCAGTCCTCACTTTTGTGATAGTCTCGGTTGTTGTTTATTTTGGGTTTTGGTTTTCTTTTGTGAATTGTGTTCTCATTTGCTGAACAAATACATTTTACTCTCTGAAACAACAAGATAAAATTTTTCAAATTTATGTTTTTATTGGATTCAGGAATAGAAATAATGCCCAATAGAAGACGTTTCATATAACTAAAGTTTGATTTTGTTTTTCTACATTGAAAAAACTGAAAAACCCAAAACATAATTTTTTTTTTTCAATAGCTTTCTATACTTATTGTTTGATACCTAATAGAATAGAGGCTTGTGTTATGACTCACTCAAAATTGTGAATATTTGGTGATTATAATCTCCTCTCTCTCTCTCCTCTTTTTTTTTTTTTTTTTTTTTTTTTTTCCCCTTTTTTTTTTCCCCCTCTAAATATTGAACAGGTTTTGTGACAACACCTTGTAAGATGTCTAGACCGATGTTGCTTGTCTTTCTGTTGCTTATACTCATAATCACTTCTCAGTTTGAGTGGAAACAACCAGTAATAGACGTTGACATGAATCCGAGCATCTCGCAGAAGCAACAACGGATCTCAAAGAGAGAAGAAGCTGTAAAGGAAAAGGTATGGAGCCTCTCCCATTGTCCATTGTTTTGGTCTTCTTAATATATATTCAGTTTCCTATAGTGAATGAAGTCGCTAGTTGTTAAAACTATTTCGTATTTATCGATAAGAGGGCTGGTCAATGGAGATATTAGATGCTCACACATGTGTTTCTGCTTTAATATTTGGAAGCTTATACCTTGGTATGTTGATTCAAAGTAATTCAGGAAATTAATTACTTAAAACTTGAAACACATGATCTGGCTACGTGGTTGCCAGCAAGTATAAGCTTACATTTGATCTCTGTTTCTTTTTTCAAAAGATCTAAACATGCCATTACAACAAAGTTTAAGTACATTACCTTGACAGAATGGTGCTCTCAATGGTTTGATTTCCATGGATTCTTGTGCTAGTCATGATTATAAAACTATCAGTTATGTTTTGAGTTCTATCTAATTTCTCTCGTCCCTTTGTTTTTGAATATTTCTTGTGTCTGTTAACACCAAATATAACTTTATTGGTGTTGGACACAGAGGAAGCCAAGGTTGAAACTAGAATAATTAGTCATTTTGTATGGGAGATGGATTTCACGAGTCATGACTTGGTTTGGTGTTGGCTTCTTTCCTTTTAGTTTCTTTTTAAAAGCTAAAGATTTTAAGTTTGATTTATTATTTATTTTTATTTTTTGAAAGAGGGTTTATTTTGCTTAACTAGTAAACTTTGGGTGCCAAAGTCTCAAAAAGACTGTTTACATTCCTTCATTTAATTGCTTATTATCATCCTCGTATAAATTTTGTTTGAGGAAAGTACATGGTTTGCCATGGTTTTATGCACGCCTATTACTTAGTCACTCTAAATAATTGGGTGCCATCATGACCTTTTTTTTGCTATGACCATCATGACCTTTTGTTTTCTCTTTATTAATTGAATGGCAATGGTTTATTTTTTAGTAGAGTAGTATAAATAATATTTTTTACCATCTTAAGTGGTATTTTTGACTTTTTTCCTAAATTTTTTAGAACAAAAATGACGTAATTCTTTAATTTTGCCTTGAGCAGAAACATACCTACATACACTCACACACACCCATGCAGAATCACAACTTTTATGTTCTCTGTTGGTACATTTTCTAGTAGCTGTTGTCGCGGAAGTTATTGTTAAAACACAAATCAATGGCAACATTTATTTTTCTTTACTTGTGTATGTAAATGAGAACTTGTTAGCTACAGAAAAGGGTTGGCCGAAGGTCACTACCGGTCCTTTGGTCTTGGTCATTAGACATGACCTTCTTAGGATGCTTTTGATGTGTTTCTGTCTGTATCAAGAGCACCTTTGTTCCAGAGTTATCTCTGCTCGTGAAATTGGTATAACATGTTGCACTTATGATTGCGCACGATCAGTTTGCAGTCAGCTTGCCATATGTCCCTCTGCAGTGTACCGGAGCCACCTGAGTTAAAAAGAAGCAAAAAGCAAGTCCGTCCACTATCTATCACACCTGCCCTAGTATGCAGTCCTCTTTCCCCTTGTTCATTATAACTTTTCACTTTTCAAACTTAGGGGGAAGCTCAAATTTTAGAATGCCTTTTGCCAAGTGCTTAGGTTTGTTTAAAAGTTGAATGTTCTCTAACATTTAACCTGCATGAGAAATATTATCATATAAAGGACAGTGGCTATAACACAATCAGAGTAAACTCGACCTTTTCCTACAAAGAGCTTTGGACCACTGTATTGTGTAAAACGTGAAATATAAGGACCGGAGCAAATTGCTACCTGACCTTCGGAGTGAGTAAATTTTTGGCTAGAACTGCATTTTTGGAGATAACTAATTATTTATAGAAGAGGAGCCTAAGAAAATTTTTTTGTGGAGTGTGCAAGATATGCTAACCAAAGTGATTTTACAAGGTCTTTGAAGGACTTGTGTCAGCACTAAGACCAAAATTAGATAAGCAGTTTTCTAATGATGCTCTGAATCTGACTCAATACTCTGCGACCCTGTATTTGCGACATGTATGTTCATTTTTCTCATGCACATACAATCACTTGGATGTTATTAGAGGATCCTTCTGCCCTATTGTCTTGTGTAGTGCTTTATGAACAATGAGTTTAATCCTACTATAATTACAAATGAAAACTATAGTCTTTCAAGCAATGGGCTGAAACAATTGTAGCAGACAGCAGGTTAGGATTGTTTGAACCGTCATTTTACTCCTAATCTTCAGAGCAACCACTTCATATTTGTTAGCATCATCTTTCTGCAGTGAAGTTGTTTAAACAAAAATATTGTTAATTGATTTTTGTTGATTTTGGAATATGACATGGGAAATAAGTAAATGGGATTATTGGGTGTTATTTAATAATAGCTACAAGAATCATTTTATAGCTTTGTAGTTTGATAAAATGTTACCTTTTTTTGTTTCCATCTACTCTTGGGGCCTGGTTCTTCTGTCTTTCTTTGTGCAATGATTCTGTTACGAAATATCCTGCAAATTATGCTTAGAAGTGCATCCGAAGGTGTTGATATGCATCTTGGAGAGAGAGAGAGAGAGACTGCTCATTCACTGAGCCTTTTAAACATCATTAATATTCATCCTCGTGTGGCTTTTGGATGTTGTTATTGGACTATCTATATGAATTTGCCACTTCATATGCATATGACAGCCTATATGAAAGGTTGAACACTTTATACATCGAAATTGATTTTTTACTCCTTGTGGTATGATCTTACTAACCATCTAGTCTGCAATATGGGTTGGGAACTTATTTTCTGGCTTGTGACTTGTGATGTTTTATAGTTCTGGCTTTATAATTCTATGAACGTCGGCTGATGGCGTATCTCACTCTTTGCAGATCATTTTATCTCAAGAAAAGAACATCCAGAGACTTAATGAACTTGTTCGCAGTCTTCGCGAACAATTGCATCAGTGTAGGGGCAACAATGAGAAAGCAAATGCCACTGTACGCCCTCTAACTGAACACGTACTTGGACTTGAACGACAACAGCTTCTTGAGGGCTAAGCTATAATTTGATTTACAGATTCTTAAAAATCCCTTCTTTTCTTCCAAAATTCACGTTAAAGTCAATATTCAATGTAAATTAAACACCAAACTTCTCATGAGGTCAATGACCAAACCAAAATCTATGCTGTTTTCTTCAGATGGCCAGTTGAAAAATTTGTACGACATTGGATGTCATTTCTCTTTATACTTGCACTTCAAGTTGTGTCACTGTTTCTTTCTTTCTTTCTTTTTTTGATAATTAAGTTGTCACTGTTCCCATTAGACAAAATATTCTTTTCTCTCTGATAATCACTTTCGTTGCAGACTATTCTTATTCTTATCTTAATCAATTGCTTGGTTTTGGTTTTTCTAGAAGACTAAAATCACCAAAGTTGTTTGTTATAACCTTGTTTATGAGATAATGCCGTCATGACTACTTCACTTGCGTGTGTTAAAATTTTTCAAGTTGGAAGACTTCTTGCATATTATAACGCATAGTGATTTGCCACTTGGGTTAACTTGATAACACTATTTTTATTAATCCTTGCTATTATCGTTTTGAGATCAATTGTGATACACACACGTGTATATATATATATATTATTAGCTGATGGCAATCTGATGCCAAACAAACAAGTACACGTGGAGTTATCGAGGATAGTTCTTGACTTCTTGCTTCTACAAGACGTTTAAGTCAATAATTCAAGTCAAATGGAAGTGGATAGATGATGACATATATATATATATATATATATATATAGTCATTGGCACTTGGCAGGCCGGTGAGATGGTTATTTCAAGAGGGCGACAGATAGCCATTAGAACTAATATATGCATACATACATACATATATATAATATATACACACATGCATGCCCACATTCATGCACTGCCTATCCTACCCAAGGGCGTTAATTATTTCTTTATAGATAAAACCTTCATCAAGATCCACCATCTTAAATCAATAAGAATAATAGACTAGATGCGGAAGTGTACCTAGATTCATAAGAACGGATGTGATTCTTGAGTTTTATGATTCTTGATCTTCCAAATTAATGCGTATGAATTTTCTAGAGAAGGGGGTTCTTTCTTTTCTGATGTTGGGATGTCAGAAAAGAATCATACGTATAATTTGGGAACCATAACCATTTATAACTGCACACACTTTTCTTATTACTAATTTTAGCCCATCATAAATTAGAAATTAGATATTAGGGTTTCTACACATAAAAACCCCATACTTTGTGAGATGACTTAGGCTCATTTAATTTTAAACCTTATAAGATCACTTTTAATTTGGGCCAAACCTTTATGATAGCATATAATACACAATTATTATTATTTTTATATATACACGTCCAAAAATCTAACAATCTCCCACTTGGAGTACGTATATATATATATATATTCTCAAATTTCATTGTCTTTCATGGACTTAATCTCTTCATTCATGGCATCAATCCACTTCTGAGAATTAGTACTTTGCATGGCTTGATGAAAGTTGATTGGATCATCTTCCACCAATCTAATGTCATCCTCATGTTCTTGGAGAAATATGGTGTAATCATCAGAAACCACACTTTTCTTTTCTCTAGTAGATCTATTTAATGGCAATTGTTCTTGAGGTTGTTGAGTTTGTTCTTCAGGAATAACCTGTTGACCTTGATTCAAGAGATTTTCAATATTGTCTTGTGGCTCTGGTATCGCTTTTTGAACAACATCAGGAATAGGAGCCTGATCATTGTCAATAACCATCGTAGGAAGAGAAATGGATTCCTCTTTAAAGACAAAATCTCTAGTCTTATCTCTCCCCTCAAACTCAATATCCTCAAACAACTGGGCATTCCCATCTCAAAGAAGGGCCTAGTGGTGGGATCATAAAATTTGTACCCCTGAGACCGTTCAGAGTACCCAACAAAATAGCTGTTGACCGTTCTTGAGTCAAGTTTCTTTTCATTTGGCCTATAAGGCCTTGCCTCAGCTGGACAACCCTAAATGTGTAAATGCTTTGTACTAGGCGTCTCGCCCGTCCATAATTCATAAGGAGTTTTAGTTACTGCCTTAGTCGGAACTCTACTAAGGATGTAAGTTGCAGTTTTTAGTGCCTTTCCATAGAGTGAATCCGGTAAGATAGTATGACTAATCATACTCCTCACAATATCCTTTAATGTTCTGTTTCGTCTTTCAGCAACATCATTTATAGAAAGACTTCCCAGCATGGTGTACTGTGGGACGATACTGCACTCTTCTAGGAATTTGGCAAATGGCCCTGGTTGTTGTTTACCCGATCCATCATATCTGCCATAGTATTCACCACCATAGTAAGATTTGACAGCCTTAATTCTTTTGCTAAATTGATTCTCAACTTCAGCCTTGAAGGCCATAAACACGTCCAATGATTGAGACTTCTCATGAATGAGATAAAGGTAGCCATAACGTGAGAAATCGTCTATGAACGTAATAAAATATTGTTGACCATTTCCTGAATCCGCAGGGAATGCCCCACATATATCTGTATGTATTAGTTTTAAGACGTCTGAAGATCTGTTGGCACCTAATCTCCTTATGTTTGTCTGCTTCCCGTTAATACACTTAACATAGACTTGAAAGTCTGACAAATCAAGGGGATCAAGAATTCCATATGACACAAGTCTTTTAATTCTTTGTTTAGATATGTGTCCTAAACGCTTGTGCTAGAGTGATGCAAAATTCTCATTAGTTAATTTACGTTTTGTACCACGTGAACTCACATGTAAGGTTTCATTAAAAGAGGCAACCGTATCAAGTAAATAAAGGTTATCATAAAAAGACAAAGAACCGGTACCAACAATATTTGAATTCAAAAAAAGACTAAACTGATTATTTCTAAATGAACAAGAATAACCAAATTTGTCCAAAACAGAAATAGAAACCAAATTCCGTCTAAAAGAAGGTACCACATATGTCTCTTTCAAATCCAAATAATATCCAATCTTTAATAATAACTTAAATGTCCCTATAACCTCAACCTCCACTGATTTGTCATTGCCCACATAGATGAATCTTTCAGCATCATTTGGCTTCCGGCAGCCCAGGCAACCCTGCATAGACACACTTATGTGAGTAGTAGCACCAGAATCTATCCACCAAGTATGTCTTAGTACTGAAGCTAAATTAACCTCAGAACAAACCAAAGTGAGAAGTGTACATTTCTTTGCACGCCAAGCGTGATATTTGATATAATCCCTCTTCATGTGTCCAGGATTCTTTCAAAAGTAACAGCTAAATTCCTCATCTTGTTTCTTTTGGTCTGGACCACTTGCAGCTTTTTTATCCTTCTTCCTTTTATTGTTCTTGTCCTTAGATGTACTTGCCAAGTGAGCACTTTCAGTCTTTTCTTGCTTCAACATTTCCTCTTCTTGCACACAATGAGAAATGAGCTCATTAAGAGACCATTTGTCATTTTGGCAGTTATAAATGACCTTAAACTAATTGAATTGTGCAGGACGTGAAATCAAAACTAAATGCACGAGCAAATCCTCAGACAGCTCTAGCTTTAATGCCTTTAGCTTTGAAGCAAGATGAGACATCTCCATGATGTACTCCCTTATATTTCCTTTTCCTTTATACTTCATTGAAATCAAGTTCGACATAATCGTACTTGTTTAAGCCTTATCGTTTTTAGCAAAACACTTCTCAATTTCCTCAAGGAACTCCTTCGCAGTAGTTACCTTTTCGGACACAGCGCCTTTGAAGGTTTCTGGAATTTCACGCTTCATGTCATAAGACTCATGCGATTTGAACGATTCCACTTCTCAAAGTCTCGTTTTTCCTTATTGGAACTTTTGTCCGTAAGGTCCAAATCTATGCAGCCAAGAACGATCCTGACGTTCTCTTTTCATTCCTTAAAGTTGGTCCCACTCAACATGGGAATAGAATTGATGTTGGCATATATGACAGAAGCAGATGCATTAATTGAAAATAGAACAAAATAACATGTTCACATAAATTCTATATCATACTTAATAAATTCAAATAATAGTAGGGCACATCACAAGATACCTATTACAACATTAACATTTAGTCTTTGGACATAAATATTAACTTGTAAGTGGCACTCTTAGTGTAGTAATTAAATATTGACAATAAATCCTGTCAAACAATAAGCCTTTCTTTAGACCGACATATTGTTCACATGGAGTACCTAATAATTGTCACATATTTATTACCATAAGTGTGCATGTAATTCAACCAAATATTGACCTTCCTTTGGGCTTGGTTAATATCCGCATGAATTACATACCCACAACCATCTTGATGTTCTAAAATAAATTGACTTACACAAATGTAATGACCGGGAAAATCTTGATGTTAATTAGTGTAATTAAATCATAGAGTTCCTGGATAATGACATGTTTTGTAATGAAGGATTTATGGAATTAATAATATTCTTCTAAGATTCTATATAAAAATTTTATGTCAAAAATTTTTATGTTATGACTCGGCCGATAATCCTCACCGCAATTTAAGACGGGAGAAATTTTTGATTCAATTATGAATCGTGATTCTGCTCATAAGAATTCCCGAGTATTGTACAGTGTTAGCAATACTCTGAGAAACACTCTAATATTTAAAGAAGTCCTTAATTGCCAATTAGTAAAATTGGAGTTATGTGAGTCGTGTTTTTGGTAAAAATCATAAAGCCACGCTCGAAAATCGACACTGTCGGTTACCATGTTTTACTGAGAGTTTAAGACACATATGTTAAACTCATATTTTAAGTTATTTTAAGACACATTTTAAACTCAGGAAACAACCCTAATAATCTACGCGATTTTAAATCTAAACCGGTATTAATTTCTACAGAATATAGTGTCGAATTGTGTTTTAAATAGTGAACTGAAAACCGTCAGAAAATATTTGTTCTAAAAATTGATCCAGAAATCACTGTCAGTATAAGTTTGCACTGATGAAATAGGATGTTAGTGGGAGACAAGGATGAGACTTGATTCACCTTGAGTTGAAAGGTGTCATAAGTCATCATTAAGGAGATTTCTCTCTCTTTTTTCTCTTAATCTTTGGCAGCCCATATTTAGAATGGTTAATCAAAATTAGTGAGCCTAAGAAGCTAAAGAATTAGGGTTAAGTATAATTAATCATTGTCTATAAATACCAACACTTAAAATTAAGCTTATTTTCTACCATTTCCTCATTTCTTTTTCTTTCACTCTTTTTCTCTCCTTTTTCACCTCTCTTGGCCGTAGCCCCCTCTCACCATCTCTCTCAAAATTTTTCTCT